TATATATATATATATATATATTTTTTTTTATATATATATATGTATGTATGTATGTTGCTACATTCATGCTGATTTTTGCACAGTTTCTATCTTAGTCAGTGCTCACTGCTCCCCAAAGGGAGGGGTAAAATGCAGAGGGTGAATTTCCCCAATGTGGGACAATTAAGGGATTTTCTTATTTTTAAATAAATGCATTTTTAAGTGACAATCATTTTAAATATATTTTAGTTATATAAATGGACATTTATTTATTTGTGCATTTTACACTTTAATGGTATTACATGCAAAATGCTAGATCTACTTATTAAATGAGATATTCACACTGAAGTACTTTATTGCCTCCTTATACCTCAGACATCACATGACAGTGACTCTGAAAACATTCTCCTAACCCTCTACTAGTTTAGATTCTTTCAAACCTCTGGGGCTCTAAATGTGTGACATCTACTTATTTAATTTTATATTTTACTCACATTTATGTCTTTCATCATTTATATTTTGGTCTTCTGTATTCCAAAGAAATGGCAACACAACGATGAGCTAGAACAAGCTCCTGACCTGCACTGTTGGAACCCTTGACTTGGTTGATATAAGTCAATTATACAGAACAATGGATAAAACCTACAGGCTAAAAATATAATTACCACAGAGGTTCATTCATCCAACAATGCAGCACTGTGATTAGTTAATAACATCTAGTTTTACATTTCTTTAATGAGAAGTGACTTTAGATCTCAGCCAGCTACAGGTGTAACCAAACTAAGAGGCTGTTGTAGGCCTCCAGGGCAGCAGGTGGAGCCAAACTCCAGTTTAATAACTCAGTAAGTCTTTATTTATATTCCCTTTTATACATAGCGGGTATAAACTTACAAGCAGATTTTAACAAAATGAAATGTGAAACAAAAACACCAGAAAAGTTAATCTGATGTGAAAAAAAAAATAAAAATCATATTTTTTTAAACTGCAACGTTAAACTGAGGTTGACAGAACTCTGTCAGGAGGAAATATGGGAAACACTGACTCAATAAATATAAAAAAACTCAAAAGATTAAAACTTTTCTAAACAGAGCAGGTATAGCTACCATAAAAAATACATTGCTGTAAAAATTATTTGTAATATTTCAATCAAATAAATGCAAACAGCCCTTCTGTATATTATATGTTTGATTTCCCATACAGAATATTGAATTTATTCAACTGTTTCTTTACCGAAAATACAAAACAAGTTTATTCTTTGTTAAGAGAAAGTAAAATATTGATAGCCATGATTTGAAGTCTTAGATTGTTTCCCTCTTATTTTCTATACCTCTTATGGAATCAACTGGTTTATCCAAAAGTTAATATGAATTTGAATTGAAAAAGCTTCCTGGATGGGAAGCGAAACGTCTGCAAACTTGGAAACAAAGTCCAGTCGATTGTTTTTTTTTAACTTTTTGGAATGACCATAGTGCTGGTCATACCAGCACTATGGAAAAACAACAGGAAAAAATGTTTTCTGCCTGCAAATTAAGAGAAATCAAAGAACCGCCGAACAGAAATGACTAAACTTCCAGCATCACAGTAAAGATCAGAATCAGCTGTTTTTCTTTTTTATTCCCTGACAGAAGCACAATGGGATAACACCTCAGCACGGTTCATTCATACATGCCATCTTTAAATAACTGCACCACTTGTCTCAGCATGTGCTTGTTTCTAATGTACGGCCATTTGTCGAGTCATTGTCTGCAGACGGAGACAGCCACCCCTCAAAGCAAATGGAGTCACAGCTGGTCTGATTTATGCAGAATTTTAAAAGATCAAATTAAAAAGACCAATATTCACTTCCTGGTATGTGAACTACAGTACGATGCCCAGGTTTTTAAGGAGCTTGCAGAATCAGAAATAAAGTTGTAACACTCCAGCGTAACTGAGCCCACTACAGTAACAGAATACAGTAATCCTGCAGCCGCCGCTCATACTGGACCGGTCACTGGAAGTGTGATGATAAATATGTCAGTGGGTAGAGTGGATGCAGGGTGTGGGAGGTATTCTTAGCCCTGTTGACAGTGCAGACCAATGAAACCATTCCTACTGGGAGCCTCGGATACTTTTTCATGTTTAATTTGGTTCATTTCTTTAACGTAAAAGTTTGTTTTTTTCTGCACATTGTGATTTTTTTTTTTTATAAAATCTATTTTCTAAGAGACTGAATGAAACTTAAAATTAATGCATAAAATGATCGGAGGTCAAGGGAGGTTTTAAATATCAGGTGTTGGTTGTATTTGAATGCCATTCATGATATCACATGAGGACGTATTTTTAGAGAGGTAACNTGCCATTCATGATATCACATGAGGACGTATTTTTAGAGAGGTAACCCCAGTAGAGCAGGATGCACTGGACAAGGCAAGACATGCCGCAGGTCGGATAGCTGATAATGGAAGAAACAAACATGGCTGGACTTTAACAGGTTATAATGGAAATGGCTTAATAAATAAAAGTAAGGGAAACAAATAAGCCACAGAAGAATAATGGTGTTAGAGCGGCCATATTTAGCTTCATTGAAATTTTCCAGTTGTAGCTTTAAGGTTCGAATTTTGTTTCATTATTTTTGCAAAGAACATGTTTTAAATTGTAGTTTGAAAAATATGCAATCCAGAAATGACTCTTTTAGGAAAAAAAGGTGTTTGAGTGTAAATTTTTTTGTCAAATGCATTTTTCATATTTTCTTCAAATTTCTTACAGATTTTATATTTTTTGAAAACGTTTTAAATGCTTTTTTTGTTTTTGTTTTTTTTACATACTTTACGACATTTGTTATTCAAATGCATTTTCTTTTAATCTTTTTAGAAATTTCATATTTCCAGATTTTTTTTGTGTTTCTTCCATCTTTTCAGAATTTTTTTCAATTTCTTTTTTTTTTATTTTGTATTTTCAGATTTTTTTTGTTTCAAATTTCTTTTTTCAGTTTAAGTTCTAGAAATGGCATTCATCTTTAACTGCATTTCAGAGATCACTCTTCATGTTGTGTGGGCGGTTTTCCCATATGAGCAAAGGAAGCTTTCTATTGGTCCGCAGCGACGTTAGCAACATTTTCATTGATCAAGAGCGATCGTTTGTATTGGGAATGTTTTCTGTACAATAAAATTTTACAAGAAGCCAATTCATAAAACTCAATCTAATAAACATATTTTTTGCTAAAAAAAAAAAAAAAAAGTGTTGAATAGGATTGGAAATTTTTTTTTTAAATGTCAAATCTGTAAAAAATGGTTACAAATTGCTAAGTCTGGAAAAAAAAAAAGAAACCAAATCTGTGAAAACAGTAAAGTTACTCTCAAAACGGACGATTACATTTTTTTTAAAAGTTTAATAATGTCAGGATTGTAATTTTTATTTACAAAATGTGTCCTTTGCTCGTAAAAATATTGAGACAAAATTCCCTCCATATCACGGCGCCTCTTCAGTCAGAGTCTCTGAGACGCAGCAGTAAATACTCTGAGCTCAGAAATGTTTTTTTTTGTTTTAAGAAGAGGAGGTGTCAGCAGGCGTCGTCCTCCAGGACGTCTGGGTGTTCCTCCCAGAACTGCTCCCCTATGATGTCACAGTGGAAGGCCTCCACTCTCCTCCTGCTCCGCGTTACGGGAACCTCCTTTTCCTCTTCATTTGGTAGCTTCATCCGTTTGCTAACAGTCTCCTCCCGCTGGATAAAACAAAAATTAAGAATGTGAATAATAGAATAAACCGATCAGAGTTTTAGTTTTCTTCCAAATTTGGAAATATTTCAATTTTTTTCTGAACTTTTATTCAATTCAATTCAGTTTATTTCTATAGTGCCAATTCACATCATGTCATCTAAAGGCACTTTCCAGTTCAACCAGATCATCCAGTCAGATTGATCATATTCATAGTTTTCTGTCTAAGGAAAACCAGCTGATTGCATCGACTCATTGACTCTTCAGCAATCCATCACACTAAGCATGCTTGTAGCGACAGTGGAGAGGAAAAACTCCCTTTAAACAGCAGAACCAGGCTGAGTGTGAGCAGCCATCTGCTGAGGCCGACTGGGGTTCAAGGACTCAACTATATAAAGAGTAATGAGGCATGTCTACTAAAAGAAAAGGAAGGATACTTGAAATTGATTGAAAAGGAAAAAAAAAACAGCTTTCTTTCTACAGTTAATTAATCAAAGGAAATATTAAATGTAACAAACATTGAAATAAAAAGGAAATATTGACTTCTATTATTCTGATTATTCTATTAAAGCGTCTGTTCCCAGAAGCATTTGACTAAACTCAAGCAAAAACGTAGAAAATAACCATCATTTTTTGCTGTTACATATAAATTACAATCTGGAAATAATCTTAATGCATTAATTATAAAAAGAGGATCTACTTTTTAGCATTTAACCTGCTAATTAGAGGTCAGAGTTGATAATTCTATCATTTAAATTCCAAAATCAGTCAGATTTAAAAAAAAAAAAAAAACCAAAGCAGAAAAAAAACTAATATCTAATAACCCTTAAAAATAGAATAAACATCTCATCACACTGAGCTATTTTAGTTTGATTCTAATAATAATAAAGTTATGTTTTTGTTTCATCTTTGATAATAACCTGAACCATTACACAGTCTATTCAGCTCAAGATCTACTACTAGAAACTTAATTTTACATTTATAGTTCTATCAGATATAAAAATAAATCATAATAATGTCACAAATGGAAAAGCTCTGAATAAAACCAATTATTTCCTGCCGCTAAAGAAAAAGATCTAAAAGGTGAGGCTGTGTTGGACCAGACTGCAGAGGTTTACAGCCCAATAAAAAACTAACACTAAAGTCTTTATTTTCATCAGCTGTTTCTGCTTCTTCAGGCTTTTAGAGGTTTTATTTTGGTCTTTTAACCTTTTAATCCAATCCAAATGAGGCTGGGGACTAATTTATGGGTCAGATTAGATTCATAACAAAACAAATAAAGAAACATTACCGAGAAACTGATGCTGAGCATAAAAGAAATGAGATTTTAATCATCATCCAGGTAATATTTCAATATTTCCCAGTTCAGAGCAGAATGAGCTCAGCTCGGTCTTTGCAGAAACAAACCTTTTCCCAGATGAGGGCGGTGCCTTTCCGGTGAAGGACAGGTTCGTTGTTATAGTTGATGTTGAATTCGGAGAATAAGATCTCGTTTTTATCTGAAGCCAACGTTCCCTGAGTAAATAAAAAAAAATTATTCAGTTTTGTTGAATTATCAATACAAATAGTCACATTTACAGGAGCTTAAATAGGTAATCACACCACCAGACAGCACCACCTGCTGGTTATATTGTGTCATTATTTTATTTGTTCCAGGAAATACATTTTTTTTACTATTTTAATATAAAGAAAAGAGGAAGAAAATAATTTAATGAGCTCTAAATCAGTATCATTCTATCATAAACATTTCTATCCTGGTCACTGCTGGACTCCTGAGTAGAAAGCTGAAGTGACGTATAGAGAACAGCTGCTTCAGTCCAGGCAGCTGCTGCCATTAAAGCCCTCTTGTGTCAATCGCTGCAGCATAAACAGCCTGATGAAATCTTAAATATATCGTAGTTTCCACTACTTCACCAAATGTTTGAGATGAAATGTCAGCAGAGCAGGCAGTGAAGCTGTGGCTTCAAATAACAACGTTTTCTTTGAAACAAAAACAGCAAAAAAAAGCTGACATACCCATTAAAGACAGCACAAATAAAAAATAACAAATTAAATGATTAAAATAATGAATTCCTGACATTGATTTTGATTATATACACACATATTTATATATTAATACATAAAACAAGTAAATAAGCCTGATGGAGCTCCTGAAATGACATTTTGTTGAGCAAGAAATCACTGAAATCAGGTTTTCTGTCATTTTCAGCAAACTTTACATAAAGACTTCTGCTCTTTTTATGAGGAAAGTGGTTTAATTTGTCTGGGGAAGTTTTATTTATTTATTTATTTATTATTTCTTTAAACAAAAAAATCTAAATGACCTGTCAGGGCGTTCCCCGCCTCTCGCCTGTAGGCAGCTGGAGTTAGAAACCAGCACCACTCGCCGCCTCAGTTGGGATAAAGATTTACTAAATTATCATTTAGGACATTTTTATTTATTGTTATTATTATTATTATTATTTTATCTGAAGTAATAGTTTGAATTTATAGTTTTCTTTAATGGGAGGGTACGTAAACTTTCAAGTACAACTTTAGATGCACTTTACAACCTATGGAACAACTTTTCATACATTTTTAAAATGAAAAAACAAAACAAAAACATTTTCAAATAAATGTTCATTTGTTTCTCAGCTGCTTAAAGAAAACAAACATAAAGTTCACATTTATAAAAATCCTTAATTTGAAAACTGACAGGAATGTAGAGTGGGAAGAACACGGATTTAATAGAAAGCAGGTAGAAGTCTTTATTTTTATTATAGGTCCTCTTCAGCTATGAGAGACAGAATCAGGGCAAAAGTCCAGAAACAAAATCTAATTTTTAAGCCATTATTTCACATCTTAATGAATGTTATAACTATATAATCGCCTGTAAACCCATAAACATCCCAGCTCTCACAGGCCGAAGGCCTTTCATTCTTCGCTCATTACCAATATGAACTCAGTATCCGCAAAAGAGCCATTTTTCAGCACAATCAATCAGACTCCAACCTCTAATTGCTAAATTGGTGACTGGATTTTAAACCGATCCAGGAGTCCAGCCTTTTTTGTAAAAGTCTTATGATACATTCACAACTAAAGCAGCAGAGGCAGCAGCTGGTTTACAAGCAAAGTCAAAGGTTGACGCGCATCAAGGCGCAGCAAACGGTCCTGCAGCGCGTTTTGAGCAGCTGAAGCAGCTCGTCGTGAGCTTCTGAGAATCTGAAGCATTGAAGGCGCGGCAAAAGCAGGAAAAATTGAACTTAAGCTGCTGGACGCGCCTCATCAACCAATCAGAGAAGCTGATCTGGGAGCTGGCAGGGAGACAAACACAGCACTGCTGATGCAGAGCGCTGTGATCACTCCTCTGAAACTGTATTTAACGCCTAAATTAACTTAAAATGCTGAAATCTACTGGCAAAATATGTTCGCTTTTATTATCTTGGTGCCTGCAGTTTGGATTACGTGCATTAAAACCACCTTCCAGCCGCTGCGGCAAACGGCGAGGAGGCAACCGGGCCAGAGGCTGCTGTTGAATGGGATTCCTACTGACAGCGCACAGTCAGTATGTGGGGGTCTAAGCGGCTCCGACAGAAATAATATTTAAAGGCAGGATGGTAATCTGGATGAACTGACTTCACAGATTAAATTTTCAGGTGGACTTTCGATTTCAAAAACATATTCAAACTACTTTTTATCCACTGATCACAGCAAAAATAGCTTCCATTGTTACGGGCCAAGAAAGGATAGTAAAGCTCCGCCCATCGTGCATCAGACCCACTTTAGCACCGCGCAGCTGGAGCAGCAAAGACGCTTCATCCGCGCGTCAGAACTTTGCTCCTGCTGCTTGCGGTCTGAACGTAGCATAAGAACCCCGGTGAGTAAGCAAATTAGTTATAATCTGGTAAAATTGCAAAACACAAGAAAACAAGTAAAAATTACAATAAAAACATTCAAAGTAGAAATAAAAAAATATGCAACTACAAAATCACAAATTAATGATGTAATTTGTGATTTGTAGTTTTGAATTTATAATATGTACTTTAATTCTGCACAGCAGTAACTTCTAAATTTATATTCTGGCAAAAGAAAAATCTGATGAGATGAAAAGGAAGTAATATAAAAATCTTAAATTTGTTTACCTTTATTTATACATTCAGACATTTACTCAAACATTTTTTGTTTCGTTTTTGACGGTTATCTTCCTCCATTAAAGATTCAGTCTGTAGATAATCGATGGTGATGGAAACTTTAATTGCACCGAATACTAGTTCCATAAAATGACCAACCCACCGACCAAAGCAAACATATGCCGCACCTTTCAGATTTTTTTAACTGAAAGATTTAAAAACTATGATTTTCTTTTTGATAAAGAGATGATAAATAATAATAAACTTGATTTGAATTTTTGTTCCCACCTTTAGTCGATCTTCAGCCTGTGTTGTAGTAAGTCCTCCTTTCTGAACCAAGGTCCAAAAAACTGTGTTGTACAAGTTATTAATGTGGCCTAAAATATAGAAAACGTGCATAAATATATAGATCCTGCAGAGATATGAACTGAAACACATGAATAAACTTACAGTCTGCTTGCCTCCAGCTGAGGTAGTCCCTCAGGTTCCGGTTTGTGGGATACAAAACCACCCGTCCATCAAAGCTGGGGGGGTAAAGCAGGGGCTGTTCTCCAAAAAACTCCTTCCAGTAAAACACATATGAGGAGGAAAACTGGGAAGCTACATGAGTCATGAGCTTACTGCAAAACAAGGAGGGAAGAATGACTAAACAGAACCAGAATGAATGAGAGATCTGGGAATGTAGGTGAAAGAGGACCTGGCTCTTCTTTTGAACCAGTTGGAGCTTCTCTTAAAAACGAAGCTGAACTCATCGCTTTGACCATAGGAGATGATGATATCCTCCAACTCCTCCATGACAGAGCGAGCGCTCCTGCTCATCAGCCCCAGCGCCCTGTCGTCATTCGGCTTTTTGAACTGATGCTGCTCTGCAAACCTGAAACAGATTCATTCCAAAAAAGGTCAAAAACAAATAAATATACATGCAAATCTAACCGAAAAACAGCTCCACCCCTTAGTAACGGGGAGTCATTGAGGTTTTTCTTAGCCTGCAACACCTGATACTGGCCTCTAAAAGGAGGTCGTTATTTGGAATTGTCAGTGGTGTCAAAAATACACACATTTGTTACTTAAGTAGAAGTATAGATATTAGGGATGGAACGGTTTATGAAAACCGTCCGAACCGTTCGGTTTGACTGTCTCGGTTTGATTCGCGTGTTTCGTTCGGTTCATGTGCTGCTCCTTTTTCTCATAGGCGAAGCGTTTACACTCC